GGCCAGATCTCGGATTCGAACCCAAGACCTCATGATCAGAAAGCGCTTACGACCATTAGACCAAGGAGGTGCTTTTAATATCATGGTAGATAATTACATGTTGTCGTGTTTATAAGCCTACACAATTCTGAAAATATGAGTAATCATTATGTGAAGAAAGTGGTTTCAATTCAAAACAAAAGTACGTAGCAGATTTCCATCCCTTATCTGAACCTTTCGTGAACTGCAATCGAATATTATTCCCGCACTCCACATAAAATGGCTCTCGAACTTCAAAGCTTTACTGTTGTAACTGAATATTCGAGAGCTTTTGAAGCCGCTCAAGGGGTATCGCTAATGGTCTCAGAGAAGAGATAATAATTATATTATATGGAGTGTAATATGTGGGTTGCTGAGCAAGACAAGAGTGTGTTTTATTTATTTTATTTAATGATTTCTTATAATTACTCGAACACTACACATTGATTAAAACTACTTTTATGGATTTTATCGCCTTAATTTTACTATTATTTTTAATTCCCGACGTTTCGGGCGCTTTCCAGCACCCATGGTCACGGGGGACTGAGACGACTGACGTCCCGATGTCATTGTTAAACCCGGAGTACCTTCAGCTTTTTTAATTATTGTTTATGATCCGATCTATGCAAAATGAACTATGTCCTGAGGTCTTGCAGTAAGCAGGTATGTTTGGGTTTAGTTTTAATTTTATTGATTATAGGATCCCAAGCAGGTGGTAGTACCCAGCCTCCTTCTCTATTGAAATAAGGATGTTTTTTAATTTCAATAGCCTCACGTATCATCCTTGGTAGGAATCGATGTTCTTTCGCGAGGGTTTGTGGTCTATCAAATCCGATGTAATGGTTGGGGCCGTCTAGGATATGATCGCAAACTGCAGACTTCCCGGAACGTTGATGCTTCACATCAGCTATATGTTCTTTTACGCGGGTTCTAATTGATCTTTTTGTTTGTCCTATATAAGAGACCACATTCACAATCAAGCTTGTACACTCCTGCAACTTGTAGAGGAATATTACACTTGACTGATGGTAGGAACTGACTAATCTTCTTCGGCGGCTTGTAGAATGTTTTAATAGAAACTCGCTTCAAGATGTAGCCAATCTTGTCTGTGACACCTCTGACATATGTTAGTACAGCAGGCACACGCTCGACTGTGGCAGGCTTCACTCGGTCACTGTGACGTAGGCGCGGGACCCAAAGCTTGTTGTCGTGCAGAACTTGCTTGACATGCTGAAGCTCGGTGGCCAGGTGTTTGCTCTCACAGATCCCTCGTGCTCTCTGTAGCAAAGATTTTCCCACAGTAGCTAACTGTGAAGGATGGTGGTGAATGGATGGATGGTGGAAGATTCACCATTTAAATATCGGTTTGTATGGGTCTTTTTCCGATACACAGTGTGACCAATGGTGTTATTAGGATTTCGGATGACTAACACATCTAGGAAAGGTAAGGAATTATTTGCCTCTAACTCCATATTAAATTGAATTTTAGAGTTTATGGAATTAAGATGTTCTAAAAATGCAGATACTTTTTCTGATGGTAAAATTGTGAAAGTATCGTCTACGTACCGCTTGTAGATCCTTGGTGTAACAGGTGCAGTAAGGAGGGCTTTCTCCTCAAAGTCTTCCATGAATATATCGGCGACAATGGGAGAAACAGGTGAGCCCATCGCCACACCATCTACTTGCTTGTAAAACTCTTCCTTCCACAATAGATAGCCAGATGTAAGGCAAGCATACAACTGAAAGATTTCAATAAACTTTAAGATCATACTGCGTAGATTGGAACAAATAATATATAATAATAATTTATATTATTTTTGGGTATAATAATTATAATTATTATGTGGGGTATCTATATAGTTTTCTCATCCGGTTGGGTTCTATAAATATATAATTATAAATGAAAACGAAATGATAAATACACATAAATATCAATAAAATAAAATAAATACAAAAATACATAAATAAATAAAAGCCCAAGCAGATGGAAGCCCTCGGCAGGGGAGACTAGGGGAGTTAGGGGGAAAGGGAAAGAAACCGGCGGACGATGCGGGCAGTATCAAGGAGCACCGGCTTCTGCATTTGAGCCCGGAGCGGTCTGTCACGGAGTCCCAGTCGCCTCAGATGACCAGAGAGGCTAACTGGGATTAGCCCATTCGCAGAGACGACTAAAGGAATAATTTCGGTCGGCAGACCACCCCACATGTCGGTCACCTCGCCAGGTCCAGATATTTTGATTGCTTATCTGTTTCGGCTTTCACGAGGTTCTCGTCATACGGGATGGTAATATCGACCAAAAATATACTTGACTGTGCCCGGTCCATCAGCACAATATCAAGCTTATTCGCAAGAATAGTCCTGTCTGTGATGATGGCCCAGTCCCAGTAGAGCCTGGCGCGGTCATTTTCGAGCAGGGCATCCGGCAAGTGCAATACGTGTGTAATACGGCAATTTCCGATCCGCGAGACCGTATTTCAGAGCGAGCTCCTGGTGTAGAATTCTGGCTACTAGGTTGTGCCTGTGCAAGTACTCAGAGTTAGAAAGCGCCGAACAACCGGAGATACATGCCTAAGTCTCACCGGGATGGCGACAAGCTCGACAGACTTCGACGGTGCCATCCTTTAGGAGATATCTCTGATAGTTTTTGGTCTTAATAACCTGATCCTATATTGCACAGACAAAACCCTCGGTTTCCCCGAAGAGGTCACCGAAACGTAGCCAGTTGAGGGAGGTGACTGTATCTACGAAGGGCCCATGAAGAGCCCTATAGTACCTCCCGTGGAGCTCCTTCTCTTTCCACACGGTCTCCCGGTCGGAAATGCTAAGCACTGCTGGGTCCTGCTATTGCTCGTGAGCTAAGGATAGAGGAGTAAGCCCTTTATAAACCATTATAGAATGGATCATTCGATCTCGCCAGGAAGTAATTACACCTCGCGATTATGCATGGTGAGCGCGCTCAGAAAACCACGCCCACCATGCTTTCGCGGCAAGTACAGCCTCATTACCGACGATCTCGGATGATGCATCCTATAGGACGTCATGGTAGTGCTGACTTTTCTATCCAGGGCGTTAAGTTCGGTCTGAGTCCACCTGAGTATGCCAAAGGTATATATGAGGACAGGCATGACCCAACCGTTATATGTGTGTGTCTTATTCACACCGGACAAAAGGCTGTTTAGCACTTTGGTCAAGCGTCCATAAAACACATCGCAAACTGACTGTTTCATACCAGCCTCATCGATACAGATGTTCTGTGACATACCCAGGTATCGGTATGTTTTAGCCTCGGAAAAGGTCTTTAGGTTGACGGGCATAGATAAATCTATGCCCTCAGAGTTAGCAACCCTTCCCCTTTCAGCATGAAGGACCGCACACTTATCCGTCCCCAGCTCCATTCCAATAGAATTGCTAAATTCACAAGTGATGTTTAGCAATTCCATAAGATGAGAGCGACTGGAGGCGAATAACTTGAGGTCATCCATATAGAAAAGGTGGGTCACTTTTGTTCCTCCCTTCCGTAGCTGAAATCCTCTCCCGGAGCTCTCCAGTAAGGTAATGAGAGGGTTCACAGAGAAGCAGAACCAGATTAGACTCAGACAATCGCCGGAAGATACCCCTTCTTATCCTTATGTGGTTCTCCGCAGCCATCATCCGCTCGCCCAGATAACAGAGGATCGTACTCCACTGTTCCATACACTGCTCGAGGAAGTCTCTAATTGTACAGTCAATCTTGTACAGCTCGGGGACCCTCTTTAGCCATGTATGGGGCACCGAGTCGAATGCGTTTCTGTAGTCTATCCAGGCGGCGGAGAAGTTCCGACGGTTGCGTTTCACCACTTTGCCAATGACCGCGTCAATGAGGAGTGGTTCCTTGGTTCCACGACCACCGCCCCGACATCCATTTTGAGCGCGTGACATCACCTGATTTAGCTCCAGGTGACGAGTGATTCTCGCGCTCAAAATGGATGTCATTGTCTTATATATAGTGGGTAGACACGTGATGGGGCGGTATTTGCTCGGGTCTGTGGTATCCTGATCTTTATGAACCAAGTTAGTGATCCCAGTAGTGAAGAGGCTCAGGAGCAACTTCTGATCGAGAGCCTCTTGGTACTGTCGGACGAGCACAGCGTGACACACTACGAACCCCTTCAGCCAGTAATGATGCAGCCCGTCGAGCCCCGGACTTTTCCAGTTCGGGGCCCTACGGACCGCCTCAGCCACGTCTTCAGGTGTTATGGTGACGGGGTCCGTAGGCGTAACACTTGCACTCTGGCTCGCCACAACTTCCATCCAAGCGCCCTCGCTGTGGTTTACGGGCTCTGACCACAGGCCACGCCAAAATGCGATAGTGTCAGCCTGATCCGGTTCTGGGCCCGTTCCACATACCTCTGGTCCCCGATTTATAGAGCCTCTTCTGATCACTCTGGAAGAGACGATTCTGGTTGAACCGTCTTGACCTCTCGCTAAATCGTCGAATCCGCTTCTCCCAAGTAGCGATTTTTTGCTTCAGGTCATCTATGAGCTCCGTTAGTTTCTGAGTGATATCAGGCTGGGACAAACTAATATTTGTCCCAGCAAACGCCATTCTAACGGTGCGCACAACTCTCGGTCTATTATTATCCGACCTGAAGTTTGTCAATCTGCCGATAAGGGCGCTTGCCTTTGCGATACGGTCCTCGATTCTTTTTCTCCAGGCTGGGATGGCACTACCTTGTTGAGTAGCACGTCCAGCCATGGGAAGTTTGGCGCCAATAATACGGCATACTGCCAGTACAGCGCCAAAAAGAATTGGGTCTGTCTCGCAAAGGTTTTATAGTCAAATCCATCTATCCCATAAAATCAAAATAGATGCGTGCACCCGACATAATGCCCTTTCCATGGCTCCTAAACACACATGCACTCTTTTCCTCCCCTCCCGGCTGGCTTCCAAATAGGTCACCAGCATTGGGTTAAGAGTCCGCACGACAGCCCGATTTCGCTTGCTAAGGGGTATGCGGGGGAAGTCGCGGTCGATTTTTGAGAGGCATGCTGCGCATTTCCAGCATCGACTCTTCCAATATGCTCCTCATTTTCTCTAGTTCGTGGGGGACTATTCCATCAACGTCTGAATCAACCACAAATGGAATATTGACGGCAGCGTCCACATTTGCAGTTTGCTGCGCAATTAGTGGCGCCGCATTCAACATCAGCCCTTGTAGTCGTTCGAGTTCGACGTCACCAAATATATTGGAGCGCAGGATGTACCGAACTCGGTCTGCCAGGTTTTGCTCAGTGACGGATAGAGATGGCTCCAGCTCTGCAAAAAAGCGAATCATCCGAGCCCGATATGCCAAACATCCGGTTTCTTCCCCTTTTGCCCTAAAGTACGCCCGCAGTGCGTTTGCGTTCATTGTTTGTGACCAACGCATGCGACGTGCTCCACCAGCAGCGGGTGCCGCTTGCTGAGTCCGAGAAGACCCAGCCGACACCAAGCCTTCTGGTGGGGATGATGGATGCGGAGGGCTGCTAGGTGATCGTAGAGCTCCACGCGCTCGGCTGGCAGCCCGCATGCTGCCGCGTCCAGCGCCAGCTCCAGACGCGCTTCGGCGACCCCCAAGGCAGCGGCCCTATGCGCATTCCTCTTTGTACCATCATCCATTTATGGGCGCCAAATAACGGGAGACGCCCAAGCCCGGTACCCTTTCGTGGTTCGGTCATATGCACAAACGGACCTTTGCACCCACAATTTTGCTTTGGCACGGCGCTCACACCTCTTGGCAGGGCGCTGACTGACTGCGTCGACGTAGTAGTTTTGTCACATAACTGTTACGTCAGCGGGCGATGGGGTCGTCACTTCCCTACGCCTTTTTATATATATATTATTATTATTATTATTGTGGGATATCAACATAGTTTTCTCATCTGGTTGGGTTCTATAAATATATAATTAATTATAAATGAAAATGAAAAGATAAATACACATAAATATCAATAACATAAACTAAATATAAAAATAAATAAATAAATAAAAGCCCAACCAGATGGAGGCCCTCGGCAGGGGAGACCAAACGGCCGAGGGTTAGGGGGAAAGGGAAAGAAACCGGCGGACGATGCGGGCGGTATCGAGGAGCACCGCCTTCTGCATTTGAGCCTGGAGTGGTCCGCCACGTAGTCCCAGCCGCCTCAGATGACCCGAGAGGCTGACTGGGATTAGCCCGTTCGCAGAGACGACTACAGGAATAATTTCGGTCGGCAGACCACCCCACATGTCGGTCACCTCGTGAGCCAGGTCCAGATATTTTGTTTGCTTATCTGTTTCGGCTTTCACGAGGTTCTCGTCATACGGAATGATAATGTCGACCAAAAATATCCTTGACTGTGCCCGGTCCATCAGCACAATATCAGGCTTATTCGCAAGAATAGTCCTGTCTGTGATGATGGCCCGGTCCCAATAGAGCCTGGCGCGATCATTTTCGAGCACGGCTTCCGGCGAGTACTTGTAATACGGCAATTTCCGATCCACGAGACCGTATTTCAGAGCGAGCTCCTGGTGAAGAATTCTGGCTACTAGGTTGTGCCTGTGCAAGTACTCAGAGTTAGAAAGCGCCGAACAACCGGAGATGACATGCCTAAGTGACTCACCGGGATGGCGACAAGCTCGACAGATGTCGACGGTGCCATCCTTTAGGATGTATCTCCGACAGTTGTTGGTCTTAATAACCTGATCCTGTATTGCACAGACAAAACCCTCAATTTCCCCCGAAGAGATCGCCAAAGCGTAGCCAGTTGAGGGAGGCTACTGTGTCTACGAAAGGCTCATGTAGAGCCTTGTAGAGCCTCCCGTGGAGCTCCTTCTCCTTCCATACGGTCTCCCGGTCGGAAATGCTCTGTAAGTCCTTTATCACAAGAAATTACGTCTTTATAGAATGGGTCATCCGATCTCGCCAGGAAGTAATCACGGAGGCTGCACACTTCGCGATTATGCATGGTGAGCGCGCTCAAGATGCCACGACCACCATGCTTCCGCGGCAAGTACAGCCTCAGTGTATTGCAAGGCGTGCACTCTTCACTACGCCTTGCCTTTTGAATAACGCATTCAGGGCACCATTGACTTTGTTCCCGGCAACGACACGCCTGTCCACATCTAAATCACATCTTCCCCCCCGGCTGAAAGCACTCCACAAGTATACAATCGATAATATAGTATACTCCAATATAGTATACCAATTCAATTTTTTTTAAATTTACAGAAATCGTCGTGATTAAGTTTTAGTATAGTAAAATAGTTCTTTTATATATTTATTTTACTTTATTGATATAGATGTATATTTATCGTTTTCATTTATATATATATCTGTTCTAGTTCTGTTGATTACACACTTATGACCTGTAGACTATGAACATAACATGTTTTATATATACCGCAGTACTTTGGAACTTTGTTAACGTAAATTTCGGTTTCGGTGCGTGTTGCTCGTAGCGCGACGTCAGCGGTATACGGTG